TGAACGGAATTTGAGAGATGAGAGAGAGAGAGAGAGATGTTTAGAAAAGTAAAGTGAAGTCATTACTTGACTGTAAAGAATAAGCGGAAATTTATCGCTTCAATGATGAGTTAAGGAAACGGCACACTTACTACTCGTGCCAACGGAATGCTAAACACCATTAGTAGTGAATGCGAGACATTTCGCTACACTTATGCCAAAACACTTTACTAAATGCATAATAACTGACAGTATATTCACACATGAAATCCATTATTAAAGAACCAAAACATGAACTTTCGTTTAGCGAAAGGCCTCTTAAATGCCTTTAATTATATTAAGTGCAAAATTGTTGAGAAGTTATGCAAAACATTTTAGTTTTAGATAATTTTTCGCTAAAGTTTTAACGATTTACTTAAACATATTCTGTAAAATATTCCTTGTGTTAGTATTCAATAATTATATTTGATTTGACACTTTGTCTAACCGTTAGGCGACTCAACAAACAGCTTAAATAGCATCCATCAGACAAACACCACCACTGCTCAAGACTTGGCTGCCATCAGGAGATACCGAACGGCTTTCAGTAGAGACCAATTGCAACAATTAGAGAAAGAGTTTGGGCGCGAGAACTACGTGTCCCGACCCCGACGGTGCGAATTGGCCGCCGCTCTCAACCTCCCAGAAAGCACTATAAAGGTTAGGCCAAACACTCTATTGTGTACACTAAGTTGAAAATATTAACAAGTTGTAAGTGAGAATTTTTAAGCGAAACAACACATTCAAAACTGAAAGTTAATAAAGAGGACTAATCTATTAAAATAACTGATAAAATAGGTTTGGTTTCAAAACCGACGAATGAAAGACAAACGGCAGCGAATGGCGCTCACGTGGCCGTACGCCGACCCACACTTCGCCGCCTATATGTTTGCGGCCGCCGCCACAGCCGCCGCTTATGGACAGCAACCGACCGGATACTGGAACAGGAGTTCAACGCCGTACCAGAATCAGCCATATATGGTGATGAGACCGCCGGTGCCGTCGGCGCCCATAACTCAGCCCCCATTCATCGCATCGCCAGTCAGTCTTATATCGAGTCATCCGTCGGCGCGAAGTGTGGACCCGATCTCGAGCACCAATTCGTGCTGCAATTCAAGTGTCTGTCGCGGATGTAATTCTCCGCCGGATGTGATCAACACATCGATATCATTGACTCGAACCACACATTCGCCTGAAATGACATTATCTAAGCCTCTCTTTCAGCCCTATAAGAATGATATACAAAAGTAAGCTTTTTATTTCAATTCTAGTCTCCGACCGCCGCCTCATTTTATTCATTAATCTTTGATTTCAACCATAATTAGTATTTTGTAATTATAGCAGAATTTTGTTATCTATTTAACGCTTAAATCTAAGTAAATATCGATTATAGCTATTATTCACTATTATTTACTCATTATTTCAGCACAATTTGTCAAATTTAGCACTAATAGCAATATATATATAAATTGTATGCATATTGAATACACAGTATTTTAAGTTTTATTACACAATTAGGATGTATTTGCTTTAAGTGTATATTGTATTTAAAAACCATTAATATCTTATATAAATGTATGCTTAGTCTCCAAGTTATAAAAACCATGTAAATTTATATTGTTTTATAAATTCAATAGAATTCAATCAAATTCCTCATATGTTTTCTAAATGTATTTCAATTAATTTATTTAAAAATAAAATTCTGAAAGAGTTTTTAGCATTTTATGTGTTTTGGTTTTAATCAAATAATTCACCATATTTACCATTTTCAATGGAATTTATTAATTATTTTATAATAACGTAATCATTAACAATAAATAAAAAAATATTCCCTATAATATTTTATTTCAATACTACAACTTCTTACTTCTAAACCTACTATTTCTAACTGTATAGCAATCAAAGTACAGCATTACAAATATGTGCCCAATTTGGTCATAACTCTAGTGTTTGTGGCCACACATTCTGTCTCAGGTATAAAAGTCTGCTCATAGACTATGAGTCATAGTTGTGGTCGCAACTGTACCACTCGCGTCGGCATCCGTTGAGTTGCGTACAAATAGTTCCCGACTTAAAAATTAATTTACATTTATTTCTTAGTTTTTAGATAATGCATTCAATAAGCATAGAGTTGTTAATTAAAACACATTTATTTAAATCATAATCGATTACATGCATAATAAAACATGAAAGAATATTCAATTGATTGACTATTTTAAATGCAAAAAATTGCATAAATAATAATATTGATAAAACGAAAAGTTTATTGCAATATAAAATCATTGAAAATATGCAATTGAATAAACATAAGATATAATACATTTAAGGCTATAATCTCTTCAAAAAGGGATATTATATGTAAATAAAAGTTTGACAAAATATGTGATCTATAGTTTGCATATACAGTATAAAGAATATAACATATATTATACAAGTAATGGTGTTATTGTTGTGTTAAGCAATAGAGATGTGAATTGAAGAGAGAATTAGTGTAGAGAATAGCAGTGATAGCATTGATATTGTGATGTAAATAAGTGTCAACTATATTAAAATGGATTATAAATCGCTTTATCATTTCATAGCGAAACACATATTGGGTTATTGTATGGCAGGTGTAGAGAGTGAGGAGAGAGAGAGAGAGAGAGAGAGAGAGAGAGAG